AACATGTTTACTGACTCCTGGGGCTTTGCAACTACGACACAGTTGCCCAGTGGCTATCAGCGACTGGGCAGCCTGGCTGGGGCTGGCCGGGCAGAGCAGATGAACCGCCGGTGGGTTCGTGACGGTCCATGGTGCGATGCTGGACCCAGGATATACACACACAACTTGTACACCCACCGTGTTAGTCTATCACGCACGGTTATAATGCTGTAGCTCAGACAAACACGTCTGACCTCAGGCTGCTGGCCGTACCTCGCCCACAAACTAAACTCGTGTTTTCGCCTCCGTTTTAATCCCCACTTCATTTTGTAGACGAATAATTATGATTCGACTCGACCGCTAAAAGCCACAATAAAACCCCTGAAGCCTTCTTTCTTTTACAAAAAATGGTTTTTATTGTACGATCCGAATTAACGACCAAGTAGACAGATTTTCCCTCTTTTCTATCATGGGGGTTGCGATTAACATGATTAGTGGTCTGAAGTCGCTTGTGAACAACGCAAAAAACCGGAAACCAGGGGAAGTTGTGGTTGAATGGATTAACAAATCTTTGGGTCATTTTCGGATGTTATTGTCGATCGGGAAAGTCATATTTTGCTAACCTTAAAAGTGCAGCCGCTCTGTCCGAGTCACGTGTCGGTATTGTTCAGACGACGCTGCGGCACTTTGATGCGGGTCAACTTATAAGGCTTGACACTATGTAACAAACTAACAAACAACTCTGAATGGTGTTGAAAGAAAAATAACAGCAGTCGAGCAAGTTAGTCAACAATCTGCCGAAACAGTGCGTTTACACTTGGTAGTTTCAGTAATTATTTACAAACTGGAAATTTATTACTCCGTCTGGTAGGAACATAGAAGGTCGTCGTAAATCTGTACAGCAGTCTTCAAAGGTCTGAATAAGAAACTGAAAAAAAACCCCAGACATTTAGTAACACAATTTTCTAAATTGGATGACATAATTGCTCTTCCGTGCCAATCAGATATCGATATAAAAAAAATCCAAACGGCACGTACGGCATATTATTATCAGTCAAACGCATTTCAATGATTTTCAATCTCAAACCTGCAAAATTAAACATACATGATTCGTTAAACTGTCTGGGCAACGTTGATTTAGATGACTGATCATGCTATTTTGCTGTAAAATAAGGAAAGAACGAAGAGAGAACACTTTGTATCAGTCATTCTTTACTTTGTTCATCTATAGAACCGCTCTTCGTGTATGATTAGTAACCATCTCGAAAATAAATCAGAATTTATGAGAAACAATGACATGCTTAAGCCAGATCTAGGCACATATAGTGGTTGTGAAGTAATTAAACACAATTAAGTCGTGCCAGGCGTTTTCTTTGCCAGTGTATGTATATTATGAAAACTAGGATATCCCCTACGTCAATAATTATTGAGGCAACACGGATACTCCTGTCAAAATATACGAACACTACATGAAAAATACACAAACGGACGAGCCAGCGAGTGCCGGATTACTGGCCGCGAGACACCCGTCGCTCCATCGAGTGTTTACCCGCTCGCTACTCCGCTCTTCCTCGGAACCTTGCGCGGTGTAACATCAGAACCTGCGGGAGTCGTGGCGTTGTTAGCCGGTACTCGCTCCGTTTTCACCCCTTGGCCATCCCAGCAGCGGATAAACACGCTACAAAACTAACATCTTTTGGAGGTTTCTTTACGGATTGGAGTAGGGGTACTTGGGTTTTGAAGGAGGGGTGGGTAGAAAATGTCTCAATGTTGGTGGTGAAAATGAGAAAGGTGATGGCGGCGACCTACACGGGCTGTACTTATGGCGATTGTGGTGATGGTAGCCTTGGTGGTGATGGATGTGGTGTTGATGGTGAGATTAAGGAAACTCGACAAAGATTTCAGCGATGGGGAGGCGATGATAATTATTGGTGACGTCTTAATGTTGTGGAAAACAATTTAACGGTGGACCGGATGTAGATATGTATACAAAATCATGTACACACAAAGTGTATATTTGCGTGCAACCGAGGATCCCCTATTGTCCCTCTTTTGTTGGTACAAACTTTTTAGGAAGACCTCCCATAAGTTTTGTACACGATCGCCAAATTGGGTACCTTCGGGAACTGGGGACCCTATTTTCCTCTATCGTTCAACGTCCCCTAATGAACGCAGAAAAAAACCTCATGTACATACACCAGTGGTTTAGTTTTTCTCCGATTGTTGACAGATCTCGCGACATCAATACCTTGACCCCCTTCCCCCAACCTACCGACGAGCAGGACAATACTCGACTGAGTGTCCAAACAAACTCAAACTGCAGAAGCCCTTCGGAAGGGACTGTTTGGTCTCGGGCATTGAGTAACGCCATGGAGATAGGAAGTGTAGTGTAGCTGAAGGTGTGTAAACCCAACGCATGCAGGATACTGTATCCGTGTAGGATGACAGTGGATTGTCGTATAAAGATGGAATCACAATGTGCAGGGTTGAACACCTCTCAAATGATTGAAGCCAAAGATAACTGGCAATTTTTTTGTAACGTTAATGAATTCCTCGGTCATTTTCGAAAGACCAAAAATATAAAAAGACCGTATTGTGATATTTATTTCCCTTTCAAATCTCAGCTAGTGACAGCCAAAGTTTTCAGACATTCCCCTTTAAGGCCTATAGTTCGACCGTTCTCTATACAGGTACAAGTGAACGTGAGACTTGTGCCAAACTTCCAATTTTCATGTTAATTTTTGCCCAAACGGTAATTTGCAACGGCGTTTGCCAAATGTAGACATTTTTTGGTTGGTACGACTTCCAACTGAGGTTTACCAAGGCACCTCCTCGGCCAAGAACCAGAAAGTTAAGAAACCTACGACTGTGACGTGGCAAAAGAAAAAGTCAAATGATTTAAAATGTCTAATTACATTGGAGGTGACACTGAGTCCACAACAGTGCAGGAATAATTATGGCTCCTTGAGTATCAGATCAACGACCAACTCCATTATTTTTCTATTACACTTTCCAACATTCCTTTAGACGACAAGCCGTTTTTCCAATCACGGGAAACTGTCAGCGATCGGCGGCCGAGACAGACCGTGAAAAGAACCAGTTACCCCCGCCCGTCGGAAGGGGGTGGGTATAGTGTAAATCGTTTAGCACCATGCGATAATATGTCTGGCGTTTATGAGGGTGTAGTATTTCACTAAAGGCCCCGTGGAGATAGGATGACGATCGTGGTCCCCCGTGCGGGGACGGTTTCATATCCGTTTTTTTTGTCAACAATTTTGTTTTTCTTCTGGTTACATGTGCAAAAGAACGAGTAGCCGTAGTTAAACGCGGTGGTCGTAAATGATCGAAAACACACAATAAACGAAAAAAATTCAAAATTCCTTTGAATGTAAAGATACGTTAGTTGTTGACAGGGATGTGACGTCAAAAATCGCAATACGTACATCGTACGAAGTAACCCAGTGTCGATGTCCAGCATAGTTACGTTCATCTGGCGCCACCAAGTGAAGAGGGTGAATTTCTTATATAGCCTCCATTAATATGTCGGGTATAGGCACGAAGCAGTACTTCTGAATCGTTATGGAAGAATGGTAATATGCAATAACGGATTCGTTATCTGTCCCATCATCATTTCGCAATTTCGTTTTAAGATTCTGTAATGAGGACCGTAGCTTTACGGGGTGTGGGGGTGAACCCCCCCCCCCCGTAATACTTTCTCTTAGTCGGCTTAGAGTCTCTCGGAAAATGAACCACCAAATCAAAATAACCGGATGTCAAGTGATTTAATGCCCGGCCACGCCGAACTTCCAACCCCTTGCCAGCCGCTTCCCTAGTCGTAAAAAATAAAATAAATTGACATGTAAAAGATATACGGCCGCAACACCTAGCATAGGTGAAACAGAGAAAATGTACACCAACGAATGACTTTTTCTCGCTCGGGTCAAGCCCCGAGTTTATCCCTCCCAACACCTTATCCTGTCCGTTTGCTTGACACGTCCTGCGGCCGGAGCCAACCGTGCAGTCTTCCCTAGCGGGTCGTAAAGCGGGCGAGGTGGCAAACATGTCGCACTGTTGCCGTTGCGTGTTTGCCGATATAACCCCTTTTCTTTTTGGGCGAGTTTATCGGACCTGACTGGTTGATGAGTTTTCCGGATAAAGTTGCCAAGGACAGTGTGTCGTTGAAGACATAAATCATAGGATGGTTAAGGAGGTAGACTTGCCGTTGACCTTTTGGTGGAACGGTGTTTGTAGTTTGGATGATCTTTACTCTCCCCGTTTCAACGTAACCTCGTTTTTATTTTATTTGTTCTGTAGCACTCACAGATCCACTTCTGTATGTAGTATCCGTGTTTCGACGGTATGTTTTTAGTTTTACTTAAGTCACTATGAGTGTTGTCTGTGTTGCACATTTTTGCTCTCTTTTTTGGGGGGTCTATGATTACATTCCAATGATTACACATATACATTTTAAGGTAAATATCAAAATCAATTAAGGTCAATGCAAAATATATTTAAAATCAATTTTTAATGTGTATCATTTCAATGCCGATTGTCAATATTCGTCCGTGGGATAGTTCACCCCTTGGGCGATGGACAAGCGATGCATTTAGCGATGTTTTATGAGCTAACCTTACGAAGCACCTGGCAGTCGCCTCGATTTGGATTGCTCCCAGGGGCTGCTTCAACCCGCCCAACAGATCCGGAGACAGTTTCACACCTCATGAGCCGTGACAATTTAGAGCTCAGCGAACGCAGATGTCTTCCAAGTTTCTTGCTTTCGTCGGCAACAGTTTAACTTTCAAAGAAGGCCGTGAATTTATGAGGCGCGGACGGGATGGCCGGGAATTCCAAAGGAAGCCGTGCCGCGGTACTGGAGTGCCAGGCAGGTTAGCGTCTGGGGTGATCTTGCCGGATTTACATTATCCAGAAGTTTCTTATGTTTTCTCTATTTCACCGACAAATGTCGGTACTGCTACCAATTAGAAGCTATGACACATGTAGCCTCCATATACCTAAACCACTGTCGCTGAAACATGGAATCAACGTTTATCGGTTATTTTAACAGCTTGTTTGCGTTGGTACATCACTACTCAAATATATTAAAAGGAACATCGGCGTGCATTACATTTACACAAAATAGTAGCTCGCCACAAAAGTGCACAAAAAAGTCACGGGGCTGATGACAAGGAACACATTTGATGTCCGATATTTAGATTGGCTCAAACTTGTAAAAACAATATATTAAAACGATGACAACTTTGTACTCCTAACAGAGCAGATTATATTTTACGGCATTTGATAATAATAGCAGTAATGGGTATTTATAAAACGCACTTATCCACCATTATTGGTGCTCAAGGCGCTACATCATTTACATCCTTTTAAGCAGAAACAAATCTATTTTTGTCTTAACCTTCGTCGTATAAGAAATTGAACATGTCGTTGTTGTTGTTAAATCAAGTAGTTCGACGCTGCTGTGCCATTGCAATTTAATTACTTAGAGAAGCTTCGTTGTTTTCCGGAGAATATAATTATGATATACTTCAAATACCTATTCACAAATATGAATACTTTGCATGTATATTACATAAACATGTATGCAATGATTACACGTAATACATATTAACCACACGATATAATACATAATTCATTTCATACTGCATGACTGTACTTCGTTGTCGAATGGCGTTTGCACATGTACGATGTTTTAGAATACTTTGCCAAATGCATAACAACATATTACGCATTTGAAAAACTGTACATAGCCAGATCCATATCAAGAGAACGGGTTGATTCAAGGTTAATGTAACAGGCTTTATTTATTAAACCTTGCTGAGCACATTGCTCAATATAATATGAGCAGAGAATTGAGCAAATACATTTCTTTCTGCTCAATATGACCAGAGAATTGAGCGCTCAGCCAAACTTACCTGCGTCTGCAAATCTGTCAATTATAGTGCTACAATGTAGTGTGTTCTCTATGTACTTTTATATTTACATAATGAAGTTTTATTTGTAATGCAACCTTTACAACGCACATACAGCTGATAGTCTAACACCGACGTTATTGGACACTACTATAATTTAATGCAGATCAACAAAATATACAGAAAAGAAAAATCTGCTGTGAAAACAATCAATAAATAGTTACTTTCAGCAATTAAAAAGCATAATAAAATATCTAAAATAAAAAAAGAAATCATTGAAAAGTTTTTTTGAAGAGATGACATAGGTGTCAGAGAAAGAGAGATATTTGGCTATGCTGCACCACACTCTAGAATGCAGGAGGATACCGTACCCTGTATCCTTTGCAGTGGTACAAGTTTTTGTAAAGAGCTGATTTGAGTTTGAGATAGGTTGGCATTAAAGGGGAAGCTAAGTTATTACTCACCTTAATGTTTGATTTTAACAGACCTCTGTGAAGAAACAAAATCATAAAAAAAGACATTGATGCTCACACAGCATCATGCATAGAGACATAAAATCTTACTGAGCAAAAAAAGAAATTCAGGCAAGATCAACCACCCCTGCAGCAATCAGTTGCCGTGACAACCAGTCCAGCCCTTCCAGTAGTCCGGCTCCGGTCTGTGCATCGCTGGGTTGAATGCACCAGTTGCGGCCACAGCAAAGCTTGTGTAGTCCGAGTCGTTCTGCAAGGGTGTCAACACTGAGGGCTTGTGGGCTATCCTGTAATGATTTGCAGATAATCATCCAATCAAGACCAATGTTTGATAAAAAAAAACAATTTGCTTAGTAACATCAGCTTAACGGCCAAAAATGTCATGTGATGTACAATACTCAAGCTACCCATGAGTGGCACCTAGCTGACAGTTGCTTGACAAGGCAATGTGCTGAGTAATATTTTCAGCTAGGCAGCTTAATGAAATTGGACCCACATCGTGAACTGCGGGAGGCAAACACTACTCACTACTCTCAGTCTCAAGTCAACTCAAAAGCCCAAAATAAAATTATCCTCATCATTGCTCATCCGTTGATATAATATACCATACTTTCATTAAGTTTACTACTCTAGTTCAGTGTATTTCTATGTTAACTTGTAATTACAGGGTCCCAGGTCTTGTACAAGCCTTTGCTTTTTACCGGGATCCTATTTTTTTTTTGGGGGGGGGGGCCCTAATTATCCTTACTCTCAGCTGAGAAGCTCAAATGCGAAGGATGCTGCTGGATCATAGTCAAGCAGAAGGCATGTCAAGGCACCTTAGGCTGCCGACATACGACCAGAGGGGGGAAAACTGGAGAGCCTGGGAAAAAACCTTGTGGCACATAGGAGAGAATCAACGAACAACTCTGCTCACATGGTCTGAGCCGGGAATCAAACCCAGGCCACAGGAGAGGGGAGCACTTTACGCACTAGCCACCTATGCCACCCTTTTATCCTGTATTCTTGTAAATTACGTTTGATGATATGAAACTGCAATAAAACAACAAACCAATAATTGTGAAGTGACTTGTAACTGATTCAATCTCTGCCGGAAAGGGTTTAAGGAGAGGACCCAATCCTAAAACTATCTCACTTGTTTATTTGCGAAGATGAGTAGTAATGAGTCTTTCAGCTGTTTTTCTGACATGAGCACCGCCAATTCATCATAGACCTCATCCAGCCTGTCTGCATCAGTAGAGTCAATCACAAACAAGAGAGCTGAAATGAAGAGACATACATGTATACCCAATTAAATTAAAAACAAATGTTATGTAATATCTCCAACCTCAATTGAACCGGACTTATCAAACAAGGTTCACTTTGAATCACCCAACCTGAAACCTCTGGTATAGCATTCCAGTTCTGGAATATAATTGGGACATATCCAAAGCAGTTTAACAGACACCACCATAGTGGAATTGAGATATTTTTGTGTCCAGCTTTATTCTTCTTTTTCTATAAGGCCTGTGCTTAGACACCACCCATAAACACAACCAAAGAAAAACGTTTTTGAGTCTCCCTTTTTTTTTTTTTTATAAAAAAGAATATATATATCAAGAAGACTAGATGTAAAAAGCAAGATGCAATGATCACACTACTTGCAGCTCAACATTACCCTACATAAAACAATGTCATGCATTGTTTATCTGTATTGTCACTGTTAATTTCTTTGCTTTTCCTCTCAAATACCAATTTGTAAACAGAACATGATTTCTATATTGACAATACACATAGACTTAAAAAAATGTACAAGGGCTTGTGATGACAACACTGTTTCTTCTTTTGGTTTGGGTTGTAGTCCATAATTTTTCTTTTTTGAGGCTCAATAAAAAGGAATTCAAATACTGTACCTTGGGTATTGAAGTAGTAATGTTTCCACAATGGTCTGAGCTTCGTGTCCCCTCCTACATCCCAAATAGTGAACTTTACATTCTTGTACTCTACGGTTTCCACATTGAAACCTGTCATTTAGATAAAAAGCTATCATCAGTAAGGTATCATTGCAAAAATTAACTGACAAATTTTGTTCAAGCCCAATATGACACAAGAAAGCCAGATGCTTCTACACAGCTATCATTATCTTTCTGCCTATTTGTGACAAAAATGATGGACAGAAAACCTTGTTAGCAATGACAAAAATATATAAAAAAGATATGTATACAACAACAATTATGAATCAGTATACATACACTTCACCCTGTAACTCAGTTAGAGGCCAATCCAAATTCTTTCCGAAAACACGAGCAGAATCTTTCCAGAAAGTCAACTTCCTCTGGGATTTGATTTGACACAATACTCTCAGTAGCAAACTTGATCAGTCTCGAGTAGAGATAATAAAAAAACTCTTTTCTTCCCTTTAGGTTCTTGATTTTTTCCTTCTTTTTCCTTTGATCTCCCAGCGGCAAAGGGAAAATGCAAAGTTATTTCAATTGTAATATAATTTTTTTTCTCCTTTCAGTAATTTGATTTGACATGCATGGCAATCACAGGCCGCAGGGAAACCTGACTGAGACTCTGCTTTTTCCCTCTTTTGCAATAATTTGTTTGGCCTTTTTTTATGAAACATTCCTAGGGGCTTTAGCAGTCTACAGATGAAGCAAAAATGACATGGTTGAACCATGACAGATTGAGTCTAAGAGGAAGATCAAAAGGCATGATAAAATGGTCCCCCCAAAAAAAATGGGGGGGGGGGGGAACAGTAACACCAAGAGAGTTTTACCCAAAGTGCACTACTGTTATTTGCAAAATATGTGCACATTGTATTTATGGGGATATTGGTATTACACAGCCTCTGACGATAGTGCTTGATAAAAAAAACATGGACAGTATGTACTTATAGGAATTATGCTTAAATACAAACATAATGTGTAATTAGGCATTATTTTAGCTCATTATGACATTAAATGTGTTTGTGGTGTGATAACAAAAGGTCAGAATAGAGAAACTAATGGATATAACACAATGCACTTGCTGTGGCATACCTAGGAACACTGGATGGGGAAATCTTCATTTCTGGAGGGGGTACTCAGTGGATTTGGTCATATTTTGAAGAAATATTTAACACTTTTTTCTTATCCAAGTACCGGTACTGATGGGGGAGGGAGGGGAGAGGGACAGGGTCCAAGGGAAGGGGGACACAGGCCTCTGAGGGGGACCATGTCCCATCTATGCGTCATACAGATATATTCTTGTACATTTTGTAAAACAAAGCAAGCATGAGTTAAAAATATGAAAGTTTCTTTAACAAAGTGTGCAGCATGTCATGGATTCAGAAATGTGCAGTTTTGAAATGTACAAGTTTGTATTCAATACAGCGTTAAATTTTGACAAATTCAGAATACAAAATAAAAAACCCAAACAAAACAAACAAACAAACACCCCAACAAACCCCATCCCCCCAAAACAAGGAAGTTTAGGTTAAAGTGATTTTAAATCACTTTTCAAATCTACAATAAAATGTATGAAACAAACACACCAGAGCAACTTTTTTCCCCTGATATTAAGGAAACAAGTAACTTAGTTATTTACAAATCATTTCAGCAGAGTAACACTATTATTTGTACAGCAAAGTGCACACGTTGATGAAGTTACAATAAATAGAAATGCGTATCACTGCTCTTAGTCAAATAACAAAGTAAACCAAAGTACATGTGGACCTCCAACACTAAGGTGAATGTACAATTTACCATTCTGCCTCTTCCCCCCCCCCACATATTCCTGGCCGCACTGAACAAAGAATCCCCTTACAACCTATCAACAATAGGCACCATGCCAGTCCTGCTGGTACTCATTGTCTGAACTCATTAACAACTGTTTGCATTGGTTGCCATTATTATCTCTTAATGATTTGACTCACTATTACAAGGGGGGGGGGGGGGTTGTAGCAAGACGATGTGTAGGACCGCTTAAAGCCATGAGGGAGAAACATAGAAGACATAACTGGACAGGCTCAAACTGTTTCCAAGTAAAATTTTTTGTTCACCTTAGCACTTTGTACAGCGTTTTTTTTTTGCATTGTGTTTACAATGATCACACAGTGTCCACCATTAACACCAGCACCCTTCATTAATGTGCACTCTCTCTTCCATTCAATCGCCCATGCAATGACAGTTCCCTCATTTAATTACACCCCCCCCCCCCAGCCACACTCAAAGGAAACTACCGCTTGTTGTGCGAGCAAGTGATCCGACGCTGCTAATCAAATTGGACGTCTCCTTTCGTGAAATTGTAACTTAATTTCATTAGGGCCCCCATCATTTTACTCAAATTGATGATCAAGTGCATATAATAACAAGTTAATCATATGCAATCATTCTTTTTTTTTTTTCCCCTGTGCGAGGGATGCTGGTTAACGATGCACTTTAGAGCGTCAAGTGAGCTAAAGTGTTGTGATAACACGTGCCTGGGATGACATCTAATTTGGCATGGGTCGGGCCAGCATAGACAAGCTCTATTCTCAGTCTCAGACACCAGGCCCCTGTGCATTTCTCTCTCCCCCCCCCCCCCCCCCCCCATCAACAACAAAAATTGCCTTCCGGCATCCCAAGGGAAAGTGCACAAGCAAAACAAAGAAGTGCGGTCACCCGCCAAAATTTGCACGGTGTATTGTTGTTCACAAGAGTATTTCACACTTCAGCAAATTGAAAAGGCTTGTAATTGCAATTTAATTACAATGAGCCTTTACATTAGAGTCACAAGCACTCAAGACAGCTTGGCTTTCCTTCAATGCTGAATTATTCTCTTTTGTGTTCCTCTTTCTCCCTTTCAGTGAAGTTGTTTTCTTATTTATTTTTCTATTTTACTTTTTAATTTGTGGGGACTTGAAACTTAAAATATATATGTTCTGTTATTTCTATCATTAAAACTTAGCAATTGTCATCATTCACTTAACAAATTATATGAAAATAACACAAATATTTTCCGTAAAGTTGTTAATAGTAGAAGGCTGGGATTACAAATTTCAGGTGACTGTACCAATCCCAAACCAAAGACCTGTGACCACAAAAACAGAAATAAACAGAAGATACACTTCATCAACTCACTAAAAAAAGAAGCCACTTTCTGAAAATGTACAATGTACAAAAGTAAAACATTAATGAACAAAACTAAACTGTGACTCAGTGACTAAATGATTATAGAATTATCATGTTGTGTATCATCCATAATTACCGCATTTTAACGGAGGCTGATGAGCTGAGCCCCCTTGTTTGAGGACTTTCTGGGTACATGTAACGACTGTGTTGGTGGCTCAACTGTGGATAGTGCGATGGGTCAAACGTGAACAATCAATGCTGCCCTCCTTTCCTAAATGTTTTAATACTTTAATAAGTTCTGTATCACTACACTATACAGAACACTTACTAACTATCCTTTATTTCAGCGGTGGGGGGGGGGGGGGGGGGGGGGGGTCCATCGGCAAACAAAATCTAAAATTTAGACACTTTTTTATCTTCGGACACTTGGCCTCCGTAAAATCCAAAAGGGAAGGGGGGGGGGGGGGGGAAAGGCTCTTTCCATACTTTCAATGGGGGTGCTGTTCAAATACGACGATTATTAAAACTGTATCACAGATACCCCCTAAACAACCTGGCTCTGTACGTATTTTGTGCAAGGCGGACATTAATACTAGCACAACATTTTGGGGTGTCGGAGCTGGGGGGGGGGGGGGGGTCCACATTTTGTTTTCACAAAAAAATTTTTTTGGACAGAGCTGGGGGGGGGGGGGGGGGTGGACACCAAAACCCCCCTCTGGATCTGCGCCTGTACGCATAACCTTGAATGCAACTTTAAAACATGACACATTTGTGTATATGGAAAAAAAAACAGAGTTGTTCTTTTTCTCCTTTAAACCAAGCAATGGTCTACTTATAAGTAAAGGAAATGGTATTTTGCCAGCTAATGTTTACTGACAGTATATTTATATCCGTTTAGTCTATCTGGCACATTAAATCAATCTCGGACATCCCCATTGCACAAGAGCATACTGATAACATACCGTCAAGATAACACCACAAACCACAGCACTCTGATGGTGAGCATACTGTTAACATTGAAATCCAATACCGGCTAAGGTAAGTCATGGGTAAATGTTTGGGAAAGCAGTGTTTGCTGCATACTTAAATCGTTAGATTGGTGGACTTACCGATTGTTGGTATGGTCTGGATAAACTCATTCTGCTTGAGTTTGAAGAGAATGGTTGTTTTTCCCGCATTGTCAAGTCCTAGGACCACTACTCTCATTTCCATCTTGGGACCAATGTGTACTCGGTTGTCCTGTGGTGATAGGACACACAAATCAAGGTGAGACACTGGCAAAATACATGACGAGAAACTGCCTATAACAGCCTGTTGTTTTTATTACTGGGTTTTACCCTTCACTGATAAAACTGTTGCCCCAAATTTCTTCACTAAACACAATTCCATCAAAAGACAATAATAGCACAACAGTGACCTCAAATTGGCAGTTAGGTTTGGGCAGTTCTGTAAAATCCAATGTACGTCTGACCACATGTAGTACATGCGCAAAGGCGTTAATTGTGGTGTTACCTTTTATTTGGTCCCAATGTTTTTTAGATGTCACATGTCAGTGATGTATCACATTCACTTTTCCAACAGTAGCTCATGTAAGTGTCTGACATGTACATCCAAATTGACAGAGCTGCTCGTTAGTAATATATGTATTTGTCTTATTCCTTGCAATTGATATAAAGAGTGGACAGGCACCGTGTCCCACCCTTGGTTCCAGTGAGTTGTCATACAGTAGTATCTCCTCTCCTACATTGAGTCCATAGTATATTGGATACAGGTACATGTCAAGAATTATGGTTCACAATTTCTACTGCGCAAGATTTCTTGAGATGGACAAACAATATTTTCTGACTTGGCATTCCAGAGTCACATAAAACTAAACCATTCCTAAGATTAGAATGAATTCCAACGTTTGAAGAGCAACAACATGCGAGAGAATGACTATTGGAGTCATTGGAAATGACCCCCGAGTCCAGTCAATGGAAATTTGTACATAAAGTTTACATAAAGTCATAAAGTCTGAAACCAAATTCTATTTTCATTGACTTGACTCGGTCTAAATACATTTTGCTTTGGTGTGTTTCTGGGATGCCAGTCTGCAAATCACTTTACCTTAGTGAACGTGACTGGGATGCTTGCGTCTAGCTGTAGGTGTTCCTGCATGTCAGTAAACTGCAGCTGTTGGCTCTGTAGTGTCTCCTGTAAGGCAGTCACCTGCTGTTTGGCACCAATCACTCTGGCGTCATCCTGGGGTAACATAACACAATAAGCGAGGTTAGTAAGTGGAATCTTGCTTTGAAGACCTTACGATTTTCCAACCCAAAAATTGTCAAAAGAACCATTTTCCTTTTTATTAAATTCTTAACATACTGTCAACTTTTTTTTTAAAGTGAAAAGTAAAGTTCTGTTCATACTTCCTTTGAATACAAAGTGAAATGGACACCACAAACGGTAAAATTTGCCAGACTTTCAGTGTTTTTTTTAACTATTGCTCATTAGCAGGGCAAAATTGCTGTGATGATTATCACCAGATTTGAGCAAGTGTGGTTGGCAAAATAAATAAAATTATAAGTGACCAAACAGACATCAGACCAACACAGACATACAAAAATGCTGCACACGACGCTCACACTCCATACACATGTTGGCTGCTTTATAATTAATTAAGGGATGGTATTAATTCTCACTCGCATTTGCAACGATGGCTTTCATTATGAGAGACCACACAGACATGGAAACCGACAGACATGCATATCTGCTGCAGTAAGCACTCACACTCCAAGCACATGCTGTTGATAGTAGTCAGCTCCTGTTATGATTGGTATGTGTACTTCTCCCTAACATGGGAGATGACTATGTTCATTTTGAGTGACCACACAGACATACAGACCAACAGACAGATTTACCTGCTGCACACAGCGCTCACACTCCACACACATGCTGTTGATTGTGGTAAGCATGACAGCCAAATTCTCCTGCTGCTGTCGTAGTAGGTATAACTTCTCCCTCACATGGGCATCGACTACGTTCATTGCCACCTCCTCTTGATGCTGAAGGGTTTCATGGAGTTCCTGGAAATAATGGTGAACCTTGGCTCGCGACATCTGGGCTGTGCCAGGAATCTGAAAGATTTAGGTTATGTTCCTGTAAACTTTCTTGCTTGTGTTTTCTTTTGCTACAAAGATGAAGAAAAGGAAATCAGTATAAAATTAGTATTTTGTCAGTAAATGCAAAATCCAATATTAAATTTCATTGTGAATTTTCAGAGATACTGCTCACACAAGGAGGTGGTACTTTGTGCCCTATGCACGCATGTATACACTCCCCGTGCACTTTTTCAAGAGTATATGGCGGAAATTAAATGGTCCTTTTACTGTGTTCAAATCCCTGGCATCTTCCCAGAGGAATGCATGTGAGTATGGGTAGACAGAGGTAAAGGTGCTCATGGTTCACTGTTCGGTGGTAATCGTGTATACAGTCCATAGTAGTGAAGGTAAATTTGTCAGTATATTACAACCAATCAGTTTCAGAGGTTTTGAGGGTGTTGCTGGTCCGCATAATAGTATCAAGTCTTCAGTCAACTTATGCTTACAACTTCTTACATGTCTTGGTTCAGCAATGCCATCCAAATCTTCAACCACTTGTACGCCTCCTTCTATTTGCTGGATGACCTCTGATAGTCGTCGAGCCACCTCTGATACCTCTTCTGTGAAGGGACGTACCCGCTGGGCTACGTCAATGATGGAGCTACGTCGCCCCTCTGCCTCTTGTTGCAGTAATGTGTGCTGCACATAATGGCACAGGTAGATGATATCACAAAATGAACAAGTCATAAAGATGAGAGTAAGGCTGAAGGATCTGCTGTTTGGATGTGACACTTGCATGCTTAAACGGTGAAATCAGAATCCATTTATTTTATTAATGGGACCTTGCATTCATACAATTTGCCAAGTAGTTGCTAGTCTGCACAGCAAAGGTCTATGATATGCGAGAAGATTCGACGATTAATTATGCAATCCTCGACCTCGAGATTCTGATCATTCAGCGGGTACCTTCTTTATCCCTTCATCGGTAACCTGTTCTGCATCCAAATTGACCAATCAACAGCTTAGTCCACATTATTTTCTGATCAAATTGACGTCACAGTTCTGAAGATGACTCCGATTGACTGGCGCGCGGTCGTATAAAATTTGCATGTGAAGAAATATAAGACATTCAACTATGGCTCTGCACACGTGAATGTCTAGGTAGTTGCTAGGATGTTTGTAAACTTAGTTTATATATAAACAAAACTTAGAACTTAGTTTATATATAAACCAATATCAATGGATCTACCACAAATCAACCCATTAGTCAACTATAGTCCTATATGTAGATTGTGCACTTGTTGCCAAATCATGCATTTTCCCTGAACCAAAGGAAACGAGAAACATAAATTCATGATTACCTTATGGCCCCTGTGGGTACCATACTCCTTGCACACAAAACACATTAAGGGGTTGGCCTGGCACCCCGTCTCCATACACACAAACTCTACCAGGTGGGGCTGGTGGTGTGGACAGCTGGGTCGCTCTCGTGGTTTCTCTGATAGTGGGATGCGTTTGTGTTTGATCAGGGTGCGAGTGGAGTGTGTGGCGTGGGAACACTCAGCACATAGGTGGGTGCTGCACACAGTACAGTAGATTGAAGCGATGTGGTCCTCATTCTCATCGCAGGGGATACAGCTCTGTGGAATTCAATAGGATGAATTAGTTCAAGTTGACTTCTATGACTTGATTGACTGGGCATACTGCGGTGATATGAAGAGTTAGGTGCCTCCATGCATTTCAGCACTGTTGCTGAGTTTGCTTCTGTTTGCATTCTGTCACACCTGTTTAGAAAATTGGTTTAGTAGTCATGTGATATAAACCTCTGTAAATCTTTTTATTATGTAGTGCACGTGTAACACTTGAAATAATGGTGGTCCATAGGTGTACGTGTTGAAATTTATTGTCTAGGAAAATAACATGCATAAGATGCTTTGGGATTTGTATGGCCTGTTGGCATGGCTTCATAGGTGACAAGGTCTTTACTAAAAATGAAAACATAAAACTTAGGGGCCTAAATGCTCCGTTGGGGATACCTTCAATCCTGTGGACTGCCTGTTATCTGGCCATGCACCAGCACTGCTAACACCCTCCCTAGCCAGCTGAAGCCTCTCAAGTAGCTCCAAAAGGGCAAAGTTCTTCTTCAGTCCCCACACTCCAGAGTCCCCCAACTCAGTAGGCTGTCTGTCAAATGGACAGAGCAGGGTTCGACCATGTGGGGACAGGCGTGTCAGACACTCATGGCAGAGGGTGTGGCCACACAGGAGAAGGCGTGGCACCTTCTCACCTTGGAAACTAAAGACATCCTCACACACGCTGCATTCCAAAACCTACCAGGCAAGAATTGAACTTTGAATTAATAGTGTATCACAGTTTGTACGCATGTCCAGCAAGGAAGTCGGTTTTAAGGTGCAAATTATCCAATATCAAGTTTGGTGTACACATAGTAAACAGCAATGTATTGTGGCAATACAGGTAGCTTAGTTAAACAAGGCCCAACGTTAGACACCTGCTTTATCACGGTTTGGACCAGTTTACAATCACCTTACTTAATGTTGGAGCTAACCCACAGAACCCCCTCCCCTCTTTTTTAGATTGCAGTGCCATATAACAAGTTACAACACATTCTTCAATGGCTGCATTTATCAGATTGCAACACATTACAAATCTATATGATGTTTGAAATTCCTACAGCGAAAAACACATGACTGCAGATTTATGTGGTACACAAAAATTGATTTTGTAATGCTATGGTCATGATGGTAGTTTACTACATGCATACAAATGGCAGTGCTCATTTAAAAAATTGTTTGCAGAAACTCCCTAATACATGGTTGATCTTGTAAAGCCTTTAACTCCACCTTTGAAACAGGTATGAGGCCATCTCATACGCAGTATAGAGAGTCCCAAATGTTCGGACTAGTATGAGGCTAATAAAAAGAACTGTATCTGTACAATGTACCGTAGTTCCTGCTTTGTCTGTTGATACAATATATCTTTAGTACTGGTAAATTTCTTTCATAATGCAGAATAAATAAATGCTTTGTAAACAATTGGGAGTCAAAGTGAAAAAAGATGAAAGAAATCTACCCCCCACCTAAAAATTGGCATTAAATTTATTTGCCATGACCCCTCACCAGAAAAAGCTACGAACTAATAGCACTGTTGTACTCCTTTGGTTATAGTGTTCCCATGATGCCAAACTTGTCTGTGCAATGTACAAAAATGCAAAAAAAGACCCGACTCCCAAGTGAACGTAACTCCCTTGACGCGAAATGTACGAGTTTGTTGATTAGTGACTAATCGAAAACTCGTCGTACATTTCGCGTTCAAAAAACAAACTTTATTTCAGATGCTGAATCACTGTGAATGTGTTCTTTGTCACTAAGCCCCTACATGTATTTCTACCATAAAAAAACGTCTTTTGATGTTCCAAAACTTGTAGTTTGTACAAAATTTGTTGATGCTGGGTAGACGACCGTTAACCCTTGTTGACGCCAGTTGATGCTTGTTGACGCATTTTAGTCATGTTAGTAGGACCCCCATTGGGCTGTTTCAGGACGATGTGTCCCTTTAAGTTTAAAAGGTCAGTCTGTCAGTGTCATGTCTGTCAACAGTGTCATGTCAGTGTCACTCAGTCATCAGTCATTCCAAAAAAGTCGATAAAAGATGTGAATCTGGAACAGAAACATGTTCAATTTGTTATTAATTATGTTACACAACAGCTGAAGTGGCATCAGGATGCAACATAATTTCCAATATTTGCAATAAATCAAGTCATACATTCGTGTTCCCAGGTCGTCTTTTCTTCACTACTTTTGCGCCGGTTCCATCGCAGCTCGCCATGTTATTGTTGTACCGCTATCACGAATAATAATAATACCATTTCGCCCCATAATAAGCAATGAGATTGTGGGTCGAAGTGACAAACAGCAAAAAGATAGCAAGGGGAAGATAGGACAGTCTGCTTAAAAAGTGAAACGCGAACTGTATACTAGAGCACTTTTATAAAGAGGTTCTGCTTAGAGAGCAAATTCGGAGTTCCCAAATGTCAGGTTCTCTATGTGTTTCTTTGTTTCGCTGTCCTTTTATAACAACATTCCTGTTATAAAGAGGTAATTTGGCTAGTGCCATCGACCTTGTTATAACGAGAGTCGACTGTATTTGCTCAAAAGTCACGATGGGGAAGTGCGCCTCGCACGTCAGGTAGGTAAAAACCAGTATCGCCAGTTATCCACGGAGCCAAATCCTATGTGTAACTAAATAAAATGAAAGGTTTGCGGAAACACCGTGTGAATAATTTCTCAACTAAGAGAATGGTTCTAAAAAGAACCAGAGGTATAAACTCGACGTTCCGGTCAGTATGCTCTGACCGTCTAAAACATTAAAAAATAATATACAGTCAAACAATTTAATGATTAAATTGTTAATGATTTTTATTTTTTATTTTTTAAAGAATATATGCATTTTATTTTAGTGAACAGTGCTTGTAATATTATGGAAGCATTATTAAATAATGAATTATTATTATGACGTCAAAACTTGAGAACTTGAAAGTTATGGGCAACGGGTATAGGAAATGATTTATTTAATACTGCAAATAAATGCTAATTTGTTCAAGGCAAAAAAAAAAAAACCCGAAGCTGGCCTCCATATTTGAACAACTTCAGGAAAGTTGAATACTTTTTAAGTAATCGCCGCCAGAGTCGTTATTGATTTTTTGCTTACCCGGTCTGGTCCCCCCAATTACTATAAACATTATTCATTCTCAACGTTACTATTGTCATTGACTTTAATTCCCTTTGTATTCATTTATTCGTTCATTCATTTATTCCTTTTATTTTTAAATTCGTTTCTCCGTGTATTTGTCTTTTTTAAAGGTTTTTCTTCTTCAATGTAAATCCCGCTCGCATTACACCCGATGTCCTATAATTCAATTCGCTCGCACCTATAGCCCCGCCCTGCAAACAGGACGCTGGGGAGGGCTCAGGGGAAGGGATGATCACGCTCCGATTGGATAGATTTTGCGTGACCTGTGACCTGCAAGTCATCACGGCCACGACCCTGTAAGGTTTTAAACGGCTGTTAAGACGAGTCATCACTCTTTCATGCTCATTCATATATGCATTTTTTGTTGAAAAGCGTAATGATGTATGGGTAAAGCTGTACAAATTATCTGGGGGGGGGGGGGGGTACAAGCGAACAACATTTGCTTTTGGTCCAATTTTCAGAAATAAATTAATATGGAGGATTAGTATGTTAAAGCAAATATTGTTAAAATGATTTATTTCACGTTTTGGGCTCGTAGATGCTGGTAAAACCAAGAAAACCATTTATGTTCTTGTAGTCTGTTTCACTGACCACACAATAACTATTTGAGGGGTTAGTATTATAGATCAATATATATATATATATTATAGATGCCGGAAAATTGTAAGATAAGGGAACCAGTTGTAGCTGGCCAGCACCCGTTCAAGAACATGTAACCAATAGCAAACAAAATTTGGACTGAAAACATTGTAAATTTGGAGCAGTAGTTGAAAAATAGTTAGGTTTTTCCAACGGTGGTCGGCCGACCATTGTTGGAAATTTATACAAAAATACAATTTTCTTGAAAATGACTTCACACCAGGTGCCATAATTTTACAGGATGCTTTAGACTGTCATTTACCAACATCCAAAGGTATTTCGTAAAAACTTGGTAGTTTTATTTTTCGATGTTTGCAAATGTTGTATATTCCCTTTAAGATGAAACGGAGAATTTATAGACTATGGGGAATTGTAAGGTCAGAGAATCAGTCTAGCAGGCTTGTACCCCTTCACAGTTGTGTAACCAATTGCAAAGAGTTTTGCAGTTTTTTGCAGCAAAGATTTTGCAAGCAGTTTCTTAAAAAAGCCTGTTTTCTCCAACGCTGGGCGGCCGACCAGCGTTGGAAAAATACCATTCTTCTTGAAAATGTCAGCACACCAGGAGCCACGATTTACAGGATGCTTTAGATTGTCATTCAATAACAATCCAATAAGATATTCCGTGATAATTTGATCATTTCGTTTTGTGATGGTTGCAAATGTTGTATCTTCCCTTTAAAGGGAATATACATCATTTGCTTTTGCTGTAATTTTCAGAAATGGATGGAATTGGGGGGTTGGAAATATAATAGTAAATATAGTTACACTGACTTTTTTGAGGTTTTGGGTTCGAAAATGCTATAAAAACCAAGAAAAACAATCATTTTCTTGTAGTCTGGTTCCCTGACTCCATATAAGAAGAAACAGAGCAGTTTATATACATTGGGGAATTGTAAGGTCGGGGAACCAGTCTAGCTGGCTCGTACTTTTTCATAGGTTTGTAATCGATTGCAAACAAGTGCGATGGTCAATTGGGGCCAGTATTTGAAAAAAAGCCAGTTTTTTTCCAACGCTGATCGGCCGATCAGCGTTGGAAATTGATACAAAAATACCACTTTTCTTGAAAATGACGGTATACCAGGTGCCATGATTTTACAGGATGCTTTACACTGTCATTTACTAACAGTCCAGCAAGGTATTTCAAAATGATTTGGTAGATTTATTTTTTGATGTTTGCAAATGTTGTATTTTCCCTTCATGAGTGCATAGGCTTAAATCCATCCGCCGAGCTCATGTTTAAAAGTTATACCCTCAAAATATTCTATATTGAGAGAGTTCTGAGAGCCATACAATTGGGGAATCGAAGAGATATGGCAATGAACGTCTGGCCCGGTCTTGGGGCTTCCAAATCTGAGCATTTTGGATGCAATTAGACTCGAAAGTGGCACTAACAATTTTGCCATGCTGTGGAGGGATCGTTTTCCAAGATGGCTACTTTTCCGCTTTGGGAAAAATAGGGGTCATCTGCTTTGAGTGAGAATTCCTCGAAAAGTCAATGGTCAACCCTCTAAATAACGAAAAGAAAATGAAAGATGTCATGTTGATCATAATTTTTTTGTGCAGCTTAAATACCTGTGAGAGTTCTGGGTATTTTAAAAAGAATTTTGAAGCATAGGCATTTAGCACTAGTGTCTATGGGAATTTTATTGCAGGGTTACACCGTCATGCACATTTACCTACCTGCCGTAAGCGGAGCCCTTCCCCATGCTACGGCTGGGTCAATGTGATGACGTCTCGTGTTTCACAGGTCACCATACAAATTGATACCCAGTGTCCTGTCTAGATATCTTTCCCCGGGGCAACCTCGTCCCAGTGCTTACTTTATTTCCAACCTGGTTTTCTATAGTAAGAGAGCTGGTAGTAGTGGACGCGTACTGCTCAATACCCTGGGGACGAGGTTGCTTCGGGGGCGAATCGCCGATCGTAACATTAAAACACGACCAAGAGAGGGCGCACTTATCTTCTTACGTACGTACGTGAAAATCAAAGGTTCAGTTGTTAGTAGGCTGGGCCTAAAGTTTAATGCTCCAAATAATTTAAACTAGATTTCTCGTGAACCCGAAAGCCTGCAGACATGAATGATGAAAATGTAATTAAGGTGAGTTTTATGCAGACCTTATTCAGGTTTTCCTGATGGCTGGAAATAAAGTAAGCACTGGGGACGAATCCAGCAATGGCATGGACAAGGATAGCCCGACTGCGTCTGGCCGTACAGTACTATCGCAAGCTCTGTAGTAGTACTACAGAGCTTGCGATAGTACTGTACGGCCAGACGCAGTCGGGCTAGGACAAGGACAACGCTAAATGAACAAAACGAAATGAGATATTTGTTGAGCAAGCAAAATGTATAACGTGTAGCGGCGCAATTCCATCGTAGTAGAATACTGCTGGCTGGAACATATTTTTGCGCCCAGCAGAAGTAGGGGGTGCTGAAGTATATTCCAGCACCACCATCCAAAAAGTTGGGGGTGCTGCAGTCATGGCAGTACCAACAGCACCCCCGTTTCCGCAGGCTTGTTGAGTTTTCAAACTTTGTTAGTGAAATACTGATTCTGAGGACCTTTTCTTTGCCCATCCAGGCCAATGCAACTTTTGGAGAATTTTACTGACAGTGGCATTCAGTTTGAAAAATATAATTACAGTATATAGTAAGGTAATGTTATTGTTAAAACATATGTAGTTGCCATACCATCTGGTATTATTATAACACGTTTGTTAATTATTTGAAATGTATTGAACTTTTGTTGTTAAAGCAGTTGCCATAATGCAAAGGAGATTTTCCAGTCAGTCATCAGTGCTTCAGAGAGCGCAGCAGCAACTACAAGGCAAGAGGATTTCCACAGGATCCTCCCGAGGAAGGAATGGCGCAGAGGAAAGAAAGAGGGATGACAGTGATCTTAATGTACATGTAAGTGCCTGAAGTGAGAAGTAAACTTATCTAACATCACAATTTTCATACACAGAGTGAATGGGAAGTTGTTACTGCTGCACATTCATGTATTTCTTTTTTATATATTACTTGTTACTGCGTAGCCCATTCAGTGGAATCCACTGGTCTCCCATGGAGCACAGTAAAGAGAAGACAATGTGAAGAAATTACACCTTTAGATGTGGGAAAAAAACCCCAGAAGAATATTCTGAAGAAAACCACAGAATCAAGTAGGGGCTGAAATTACCTAATCATCATATTGGCCCAGGTGGGAATTGAACCTGGTTCACAAGGCAAGGAAAGGAACCGCAACGCCAACCTGACTCCCACATCAGTTGCACTGTGGAAGTTCTTGTAGACTTTGTTAGTACTATAATTGTGCTTATAAGTGTATTTCTTATTTCATCATCAAATGAAAATACTAGACAATCTAACCTGTTAGGGTTATTTATTTGTGCTCAGTCTTATGCACAAACTTACACAACTTCACTTAAAACAAACCCCCCCCCCAAAAAAAAAAACTCATCAAAGAGCACTTGCCTTCATTAATTGACTTCTTTTTGTTCAAAATAATTATTTGTACGTAGACAAGTGATTTAATGTATTAGATTGGCTAGGAACCTACATGTAGATACCAAGGCAAACAAGAGACAATGAAATTGGATGTGCTTTCGTTATACAATGTAACAAGCTATATAGCGTTTTCCCCCTGACAGGCCTATCTGAGTAAACTCAACCAGAAAGTCTCCCAGGCTGGTGGCAAGCAGATAAAAACCACCACCGGCGATGATCTGAGTGACCTCGACCTTTCAGATGACAACGATGAACATGGAGGCCGTGAGGGGTGGACTGGTCTGTCAGCCAGTCGCTTTGTCAAGAAAAGCCACAGTCAGACATTGGTGGACAGTGACAGTGTGCGACGGAGGAGTGAGACACTATCAGGGGGCTCCACCTTGAAGAAGTCGGCTACTACACCCAGTTTCCTGAACAAATCTGCACCTGTTTATGCCTCGGCTGCCTTACAAAAGGCTGCACAGCTGGGGGCCAAGTTTGCTAAGCAGAAGCGGAGTGCAGACAACTTGCCGGACTCAGAGAGTGATTTTGACATTTCACTGAGTGACGAAAGCGGTAGCAACGTCCAGCAAAAAAGAAGCATCAGTGGGTTTAAGGGGAAGGTACTTTCTGGCAAAGTCAACCTACAAAGCAACAGTAGCGATGAACCCAAGAACGACGCCAGTAAATTCTTGAAGAAGTCTACCAAGCCGTCATTCTATGTTGGTGGGAGTGATGACGAAGATGGCAGTGACTTTGGCAGAGACGGAAACAAATTCCTCAAGAAATCAGCTGTTTCCAAAAAGCCTGGCATCTCTCAATCAAAGACGGACTCAGAAGAGGAGAGTGGGAGTGGATTCTTGAAGAAACCCATAAAAAAGCCCCAGGCAGACGATGCAAAATCCAGCAAAATTAAGACAAATAATGAGAAATTTGTAGCCACCCACCATGGCTATTTGACGTCAACACCAAAGAAAGATCCAGATGGCAATTCAAAGCTGTCACGAAAAGCCCCCTCAGGAGCCAAATTTGGACTGGACAGTGACGAAGAAGATCTGGAGGACTTCATCAAGAATCTTACACCTACTAGCTCACCGGAAATCCCTCCAGTCAGGGATCACAAGCCAACAGGAAAGGCTACAGTTATTTGGGTAAGATAATCCTGTCCTTTGGAATCAAATCAATTTAAAACAATATAGCAATGTAAAAATGCTTTTACACCAACATTTACCTTGCAAAAATCATTTACAGGTTGTAAGATGTACAGGATCATGAGTAAGAAAAAAAAATTCCTTAAGTTGGATACGTTCTTGTCTCAATCAAAAATGGGAAAGGTTATTAGGTTACCAAATGTTTCTCTATTTGGCCAACATTTAATTTGGTGATTGACCACAATCTGTAAAAGTTTCACTGATTTTCAGCCATGCACGACAAGGATACTGGCCTTTCTAGGTGACTACCCCAAAACACTACCAACACAATGTTCAGAATAATAGCAACAGTGGGCCTCTGGATGATGAAGTAAATAAAAAGAAAAATAACAGAACAGGACACCGATTAAATGGAATTACATTTATTGAACTTGAAACTGAATTTATAAATAACGTTTACATTTTCACTGTCCTGTTTAGGTTCATGCTTGTTTCCTTTTTGTTTGTATTTTACAACATTTCTGCGCACTGTCCGAGCATTAGGCTGCTGTACCGGTACCTCCAGAAGGTGTTTTCCAAATTGACCTACATGTATTGTGTCTTGTACCGTATACCTGTTTCATAAAACGTTCTGACCGTCAAGGCCCTTTGGACAACAGTAAACTGTGGCCTTGCCATGGCTACTTTGAAACGTTATTTTGTTTATGTATATATTTATTTATGCTCCGTCTTCAATGTGCTGGCCATAAAAAATAAAGTTAAATTTCTCCTTAAAATATTTGAAAAACCTTGTGTACAATGTAGGTAGTTTTTTGGGTAATCACAGATGAGAAAGGCTAGTGAATTTAAATTTGTTAACAAATTGCAGGAGAGTCAAGAACCCTCAGCTGTAAAATCTACACCTGTGAAAAGGCCGGCTACTCCTGCTACTAAGAAGACAGTATTTGTGCCAAGAGATGTGGACTCTTCATCCATGGGCAGTCCTGTAGCTGACGAGTCAGCTCAATCTATTGCTGACAGTGTGAATGATGAAGATGATGGAAACTTATTCAGTGGTGAGTCTGCTTCAGTTAGACGATCCATAGTGAGCAATACAAATGTCCCAAACTTGGCTAGCACGTCCAAAGTTTTTTATGTATTGCTTGTGAACATGACACAAGATTTATTTGGTTAATTACCAGTTTATTTTATGATCGAGTTGGTGTTGATTTAAAGTATCAAATGTGATGATTGGTGAAAATAACTTCTTTATGCATGTAATATGTATCATTTCAAAGTAAAAGACTTTTGCTTTTGGATGACAAGTAAAAATTATTAATTTATGCAGGAATACACACCAACATTATGCAACTGGAGGATTTGGAGCCTTTTGGAGTCATAACAATCGAAGCCAGTGGTCCTTTGTCGAAACCAAATGCTTTAGCTAAAGAAAACTATAATGACAATTCTGATCATATATCCGAGCACGACTCAATAAAGAAGGATGTTTTTGTCGGCTTACAAACAGTCGACGACCTGCTAGTGAAAAAGACAGTCCAAAAACATGACAGAAAACGCTCTGTAAGGAAAGAAAGTGTGATTGACAGTGCTGATGAGATAGGCACAGAAGTTGAACATTCCATCTCAGAGGTGCTGTCCGAGGGAACATTAAAAAGAACTGGGAGCAAGACCCCGGGAGAGGTTTACGCAGACGATACATTCGTCTCACAGACAGAATCTCCATCTGAGACTAGGACAAGTACGAAAACAGTGCCTGATACCAACTCTGAATTTACCAGTGAGGAGGATACCAGACGGCGGTACGACTCCAAGAGCCAGAGCTACAGCGATGATTTTCACTCCCATGGTACAGACTCGGATGTTGAAGATTTCTCCTCAGATGATAACAGCAGGACACGGACAGACTCAGTGACCCACAGTAGGAGCTTTACATCTTACACAGAGAGCAGGACAGTGACAAGAAGTGAGAAGACACCTAGAAAAGAACGGAGGAAAGAAAGACGGAAAGAGATGACTAAGGATGCAGCGGTGCAGGCAGATGGAGCGACTTCCGCTACACATCAGTGGCTTAGAGGTACATTGCACATGTGTTAACTCTGTGCCTGGGAAGGTAATACTTACACATAAAAGTATAATACACATGGAATATTTCTGTTTTAATTGTGATAATTTTGTTTGGCCTATATTCAGATCTAGATTTGAGCGCTCTAGGCACAGTGACTGGTGTCGATCCCTTGCCAGTAGCCATGCATGTCATCAACCCCCAGGCTCTTGAAGGTAAGATAAGATTATCAGGATTGATAAAAAAAAAATAAAGAAATGAAATATTACAAAAGAAACGGAGACAAGTGGCTGTATTTACTGCCCTTACTGCAGACCTGTTCAAATATACTAAGCATACACTGCTGAATATAAAGGGTTAATTAAGGGCAAATTCAAATTTGTAATGATCTGTCATCTTAATAGTTTAGGTATCTTAGCCATGTGTTCCTTTTCATGTCTTTCTTTTGCAGCTCTAACATCTTACAGTCCAAGTATCTTAGCCATGAATCAGACGTTACTCTCTCAGCTGAGACATACTCAGGAGTCCATCAAGTCGTCACTCAGACTCCATCAATCATTCATGGAGAACATCGAGACTGACTTTAGCTATACAACTCTGGAAGACACCAAAGAGGTGGGTGTAAAACTTCTGGCAATGTGTGTCTCAAGTTATCAAGAGCACAATTCAAGCTAGTCGGTGTTCAGGTTTCACTGTTCAAGCAGTAGTTCTAACTTGTCATTGTTTTGAGTTTCTGTGGTCATAATAGTGGTAACACTCCTTAGACATTTCTATAGACAGAAACAAAAATTTTGAAATAAATAGCTTTTCCTTTTGATATTCATTGCAACAGTGTAAACTACCTTAGCGAGTACTACATGATGATAAACGCTGATTGAGATTGCAAAGAAATGTTGAAGTTGAAGGAAGTTTGGCTACAGTCATTGTATACTATTCAAGTATTTAACCAAGTGTAACACCCTAGTATGAGGATCATAAGTCAAAATAAAAAAGGACTCAAGAAAAGTTTAATGTTAACTTGTGCTTTAATTTGACCTTTTTCATGTTTTTGCAGTTTATTCATCGTCACAGACGACCAAAGCTGACCATGGAGCAAGCCTTGGCAGAAGTCAGGCAAGAGATGGAGGAGGGATACAGGTAACAGGAGTTACTGATGGAGGAAGTACGAATTGTCATCTGGGCCTGTCAACCAATAAATCTATTATTTTGAGTCTCACCGAATGTGTATGAGGAAAAAGGGTGTTTTAGATCACCTGGGAGATGGTGGTAATCTAAGAACAAAGATGTTGAGGAATGCAGATAACAAGAGCTATGATGTCGGGAAAGAGTTAAAGGAGGGATACGAGTTTCTGAGAGATGGAAACAGTTTGATATATAAAGAGGAAACAAATGAAGAGTGTCAGGAGGAATACTAGTGTCCAAGAGATGAAGCCAATCCGGTAAATCCAGAGGACATATACTCCACGAGATGCAGATAACAGGAATTAGGTAGTCGGGCTAGAGATGGAGGAGGGAGGTTTGCCTGTCAAATCTGGAGGACAAAGAATTAGAAGGCCATAGATAACTTCTTTTTGAAATGCTGTCAATCTGACAAATCTCCAGAGTTTAGACAAGAAGTGAAGGAGGTTGTTTTGAGGATGAGACCTGTAGGGAGTTTTTTGAAGACATTACAATAAACATGTATTAAGAGAAAGGAAACTCATCTGACAGATCCTGTCAATAAGATATACAATATCTAGAAACATGGCAAGAGATAAAGGAGGGGTGGAAGATGAGAGCAATCTTATATATCTGTAGGAAGTCTGGAGGACATGGATTATACATGGAACTGAAACTAAGCATGTGAATGATGTAAATCTGATACACTTGCAGGGGCGGATCCAGGAATTTTTGCGGGGGAGGGGGGAGGTGTTGTTATCAGCAAATAAATGCTGAAATGTAGACATGTTTGTTTCTCCGGACACTTGGCCTCCGTAAAATCAATAGGTGGGGTGGGGGGGGGGGGGGGGGGGTTGTACCATTCTTTTAATGGGGGCACTGTTCACATCCAACAATCATCGTAACCCAGCAGGCTCTGACCGAATTCTGTGCACAGGCGGATATTATTACCAGTATAATTGTTATAATTTGTTGGGTGGCAGAAGGGGGGGGGGGGGGGTTCACATTATATTTAATGTACTTGTACAAAATATAAAAAATTGAGACAGAGCTGGGTTTTAATTTGATCTTCCCGGTACTGCACCTGACTTGGCAGTCAAATTAATTAAGGATGTAACATTTTGACGTTTTAAGTTAAAGACAGATGGTAGAGAATAGATTGATAAACCTGGAGTCAGTCAGACAACATGGAGGGATGCTGGAGGTTACAGTCGGGAGACGGGGGAGAGATACTGTTTGAAAATATTTTCAATAGGAGAATAGCAAAGAAAGCTACTGAAGATAATACCCTGAGCACTTTACATGTGGCAGAAGTCAGTTCAGAAAGGACAATGGTTATCACCAGAGATTGTCACCATGATTGCTGTAGAGGACGTCCATGGTGGTTGGAGGCAGGTGGTTGGGGCAATCTAGAAGACTGATTGCATACTGCATGGGTACGTGAGATTAATAGAACATCTTGTAAGATGTCAGCATCATCCAAGAGGAGGATAAGGATCACTTTGCACAAAGCCGAGTCTTGCTTGAGTGTTAACAACTCTTGTCTCTTGTGAGGTGAAGTTACTAGGGGTACACCTTACGTTTGTTTTGTGTTTTACATCTGTTGTACAATGAACAGCTTTTGCATGTTTGCCTAAGAAGTCCTGCCCGTAATAAACTATAAGCTCATACAGGGTGAATAAATAAAACGGAACCCAACTCCCATAAATGTATTTCATATTCAAAAAATTATGTAGCACCAAAAAATAATAAACAGGAAAGCCAATTATATAAACTACTTTTAGATAAAAAAAAAATTACTGAAATTGTTTAATCCGTTCAAAGAATATCACCATTTAAACGCAATGACCGTAAAACCTGTTTGGTCCAAAACAAAAAGCAGTTGATTGTGTGTTCTGACTGGAACAACAAAGAAAATGACATAATACATGTTTCAACAACTGTCAACAACTGTAGTACACAATGTATTTAATAACAACCCTGCTAAGGCAAACAGTATCATTTATTTTAAAAAACGGGCCTTCACAAGGACTTTCTTTAACTTTTAATCTGAGAGGTTTTATCGCTGGTGATGTTTGAAGACAATTGTGAAGACGATTCTTGAAATTGCATTTTTGGACGAAAGAGGTTATAGGGTCATTGTGTTTAAATGGTGATATAGTTTGAACATATTATGCAATTTATGACAAATGGTACCGAAAAAAGTTGCACTTTTGTATACGTGCAAGGTGAGTGTGAACCACAACTTGCAACTGTTTTTGGTATCATTTGTCATAAATTACATAAATTCGAACACATTATAACTGTTTTGGGCCAAACAAAGAGTATGGCTGGATTGCTAAGGAATGTCTGTACTGATTAGTCCTTATTTGAGCGAGAGGTGCTCCGTAGTTTTTGAGTTAGACAAACAGTATTGGAAGGGGGATTTTCTTTTTTTGGTTCAGTGTAGTTAGAAGTAAAAATGAAGTCACAATAAATATTAATGAGAGTTACTCTATTTGGAATACAAGAACTGTTTGCATTTTTCTTTCAATGGTCTGCAGTTATATGGGCTAAACTTTAAAGACACATTTGACTTTTTTGTTTTAAAACTCATGAACGTTTAAACAATGGATTAATCAAATTTTCTCGACCGGTTGGAAAAACGTGAGCTCAAGATAATGTTTAAAACATGTCAAAAAGTATATCTGTTTTGCTTTTTTTTGATACAAGTATCAATTTCTTTAACGGAGACGACAATTATGTAACAGTTCATGAAACTATTTTCATGTACAGTGAATTTTCAAACAGATTTCATGAACAAGCGCTCATTATACGCCCGGAATGGATAGATTTCCTTCGATAAAAATAACTTACTAAAATGTATTGCAAGATAAGTTCCTGCTATCCAGTTGTTCCTATTTGTAGATGTGATTTGTTTATATCTCCGTTCATGTTGTGTCTTTAAAGGGGTTTCCGCTAGCCTCTACTCCGCTGTGTCTAACTTGGGCACAACAATGAATCATTAAAATTGAGAATCGCTAATGGCCAAACCCGTTATTTAGCTGGGCTTACATTTCGTGCAGTACACGAGACCGATTCAACATAATTATGAATAATTCTAGCATAGCCGGGGATAAATACACAGTTCAAGCTATTGATTCTACATGACCCCGGATGCACAAACCGATCATTCGTCAGACGGATGACCCTGTATATGAACAAATACAGGTATAGCATTGTGAATGACCTCTGCGGATCATATCCTGGTCTGATGGTAAGGAAACCTAAACTGATGAGTTTCCGTTTGCATGCGTGACGTGTGAGCGTCCGCACGGCTACATTGACGTCGTACATTGTATTAGGGATGTCCTGACCAACCCGAAATTCGAACCACCGAGAAGCAAGTTCATTTTTTAAGGTCGCGTCCCAGTAATCAGGACGCAACGCCATTTTTCTTTTTTATTCACCTCTCTAACCCCGTCTACAACAGCTGGAAGCCCGCTTTTTCGAACGGCGGCATCTGCCATCATGAACTGATGGCCCACAGTTTATGTTCGCAACCGCACAGTACAACAAAAGACGACTACAGTGCAGAACGAAACACGCACTCGCGTACAATAGCTCGGCGGGTTTTTGATATTTGTACAGGCTTGGGACGTACCAGCACGTTGACAACACACCCTGGCTGCATGCACGGAGTATTACTGAGAGGCCGTACGTACACACGAAGCAACGTTGACAACTTACACCGAACCCGAAATTCATGATAGGAGTGGAATACCATTCTCCCCATCCCACGTAGACTCTACTGGGTCAGCCAAATCATGATTGTGGGGAAAAGAAGGACTTTCCTGTATTTTGTGTCCTGCTTTTTGATCTTGATGGTCATAGTCACACTGCGAGGAGGGAATCATCATGGTGGACCGCGGACTTCACCGCGTAGTCGGACTCGAGATGCCAAACGCTCGGCTGATGCCCATGCCAAAAATGCTCCTAATCCGTACAAATACAAAGTGTTTGATAACTACAACGAAGCTAATGAAGAATACGACGCGTATAAGGACCAAGGACCGAATGGGTATGTATAGTATTAGTAGGATAATTTCTCGACACAATCCCCCCGCCATTTCCACCTTTCATTGGCGACCACTCTCTCCCCACCCTGCCTTTCTCCCCATCTTTATTCTTATCTTTCCATATCTACATTATAAATTCCCCATCAATTTCTACAACTGTTCTTTCCGTTAGTGTAGCCTTAATGGGTAATACATGTACACTGCACGAAAAGACGACGCAAGCCGGTCATTTTTACTAGTTTCGTTTCTTATTCCTCCATAATAAATGCATAATTTACTGGTGAATCATAGCGACATCGCGACACCATGCATCCATTCTTGAAATACGTGCGCATGCATGACTAAACCTAAAAAGCAGAGAGCTCAATGTGCTTCACGAACCACGGGTATCCGCCTAAATAGCCTTTTGAAAGCTTTGTCTGAAATGACCCGCACGCTAAAAAACTGCTATGCTCCCAAGTTGCAAAAGCATCTGACTAGGTTTGGCTGAAAACGGCAAAATTCGAAAAGTTCTGGCATTTTGTAAATTTTCGCAAATTGACCCCTACTTACCAGTTGGTGACATTTGAACCCAAAATGTGAATACCGTCCGAAGGAGCTTGGGCTAGGGATGCATATTTCACCAAGCTTGGCTAAAATTGACCTAAGTGTCTAGGAGAAGAAGCATATTTGTTTGAGTGTTGCACATTTTCCTAAAATAACCACTGAGTGACCATTACCTGAAATCTTCTAAAATGCTGTATATGGGCTAAGTATGTAATTGACGAAAAATTGTTCAAATCAGGTGAAGAATATGTTGGCAAAAAAAATTAGTGACCACTGGGTGACCATTGACCAAACATGCTGGTTACTTAAGATAGGACTCAGTTCAAGGAAGATCCTGTCAAAATTTTGTTGAAATCGGCCATGAAATTTGGCAGATATGACAAAATGACCAGTAAGTCACCACTACCTGAAATGGAGTCCTGAAATCTACTAAAATACTGTATGGGGTATGGGCTTAGAATGTCGTGGGCCTTGTGCACGAGTTGGCAATTTTTGTCGAGTTCCCAGAATGTATTTCATTTATTGTAACCGTTGAATGGGATGGCGCCAGACTATTTATGCAGGTATAATGCATCCTTATTTTACTGTCATTTTTTGGTTAATTGACATTAGGGAATGTTTTATTACAAATTTTAAATTATTATTTGAAGCAGACTGAAATCGCTTACTCCTTTCTTCGCAAGTTCCAAAATTAAGATTTTACCTCACTTTCAATTCAATGTGGCCGACTCGTGCATAAGGCCCATTGACGAAAATTGGGTCAAACCAGGTAAAGAATTTTGGCAAAAAGGCGTTGTACCTGTGTCAGTAAAATTACTCTATACTGGCCATTAGGTGATAACTCGGGTCTAGGAAAATCCTGTCCGAATTTGGCTGAAATCGGCCAGGAAATTTGGCAGATATAGCATTTTATTTGTGAGCGTTTGCCCGAAGAAAGAAAGAAAGAAACGCGACGATCACAATAAGTGCTTTTATGTGATACGTCACTAGTGTGCCGTTTATTTTTTTTAAAAACGGTCTTTACGGCCCCCCGCATTTTTCACGTATCCATTGTCAAGTGATATAGCATTCCCCCTGATTTTCGTCACTACAAGCATGCATGAAACCTTTTCTTCGCAAATTGTGTTGAATCCAATTGATCTTGAGCAGCTGCGG